TGAAATATCTTACGAAATATTAATATTGCAATTTTATAATGCGGATGAATTTTGTTTTCTACGTAGTATAATTATATATGGTGTTTTAAGAATAACTTTCTGATACACCTGGCCTAACCTAACCTAACCTAACCTTCTGATATACTGTGTGAAATATCTTACGAAATATTAATATTGCAATTTTATAATGCGGATGAATTTTGTTTTCTACGTAGTATAATTACGTATAGTGTTTTGGGAGTAACTTTCTGATATACCTAACCTAACCTCCTGGTATACCATGTGAAATATCTTATAAAATATTAATTTCGCAGTTTTATAGTATGGATGAATTTTGTTTTCTACGTAGTATAATTATATATGGTGTTATGGGGGTATGAGAAATTTGTAATAAAAATAGCCACGAATCACTTTCATTTTCTTATTAAATAACCGAACCTCCATTTTGTTAAAAATTTGGTATACGAAATTGAACGAGTGGTCGAAAAGCTTTGAATGGCACAGGATGTCTGGTACCATGAACAACCCCAAGCAACAACCCCATAAAAATGTTACCGTAGCATAAATCGTGTTCGATTGAAGGAAAACGCCTTCGGGGAAGACCGTTAGGCCGTTTACCATGTTGAAGTGGTGAGCGATAAATCGCGAAACAAAGTAAAGGACGAGGACGTATAAATTTCGCAAGACGCGCGCCACCATAAATCCCGGTGAGAAAAACACGCCCATTCTTCTTCATTATGAGAGGATAAGGAGGTGTCCATGGCTGGAGATAAGGTTGATCCTGCGGAATACCCACTCGCCTTCTCTCCTCTCTCGCATCGTCGATTAACGCCCGTATCAACGCGCGTTTCCATCCCCGATTCTGCTTCGTTTCTGCCAGATCGTTCGAAAGGCGCCAGGAACGTATCCGCGGAGCGTATACGGGGACGTGACACGCAATCGCGGTTTTCTTTTCCGCTGCACCACGCGTGAGACGCGCGGCGTCGAAATGCTAGAGCCGTGGTAAAGTTTATCCGCGGTTGCAAAAGTGCTATTTACGATCGACGATCCGCGAGAAAGTTCCGGCGAAATAGATAACGCCGCTCGAGATCCGTATCTGTTAAGCGGCTGCAATGCCGGGGCGACTTGAGAGATAGCTACGTGCCTGCCGCCTCGAATTTTTCCGGATACTTTTCTTTTATTTCTGACGATTTATAGAGTGCTTTATCAGTGATGGAGATTAATTATTGGTCGTTCGTTCTTAACTCTATGTCATGGAGTGTGTAATATATATCCTTTTTAGGTTAGGTTTTGTTTCTTTTTTGTGGATTTAGTTTTAGAAATTGTTTAAGTGTTTTATTAATGGGTTAAAATGGAATTTTAATTGATTTAAATTAATTATTAGTCGTTCATACTTAACTGTATGCCATGGAGTGTGTAGTATATATCTTTTTTAGGTTAGGTTTTGTTTTTTTAGTGGATTTAGTTTTAGAAATTGTTTAAGTGCTTTATTAATGGGTTAAAATGGAATTTTAATTGATTTAAATTAATTATTGGTCGTTCGTTCTTAACTGAATGCCATAGAGTGTAATAGTATATATCCTTTTTAGGTTAGGTTTTGTTTTTTTTCTTTTTTTTGTGAATTTAGTTTTAGAGATTGTTTGAGTGGTTTATTAGTGGGTTAAAATGGAATTTTAATTGACTAAAATTAATGATTGGTCGTTTGTTTTTAATTGAATATCATTGAATATACAGTATGTGTATTTACATATATCTTTTTAGGTTAGATTTTTTGTAGGTATAGTTTTAGGGATTATTATAGTGTTTTATTAGTGGGTTAAAATGGGATTTTAATTGATAAAAAATAATTATTAGTAGTCTATTCTTAATTGAATTTCATTGGATATGTAGTATATATGTTTTTTAGGTTAGGTTCCCCTTTTGCTCTCTTGTGGGAATAGTGGAATGTTAAATTTATTACGTAGATATTAATAATAATATTGGATATTATTATTCAATATAATTGTAAGTGTATATATTATTATTATTCGTAAAATATTATTAAATTACTTTGAGGTTAGGACAGTGCAGTGATCGTACAAGAAGTCTAACAATTTTCTTCATAACACTTGAATTATCACTTCAATTTGAATTATTATGCTATATTATTCAATAATTCGTGTTTCTGATCATTTGCAATTAATTATTGTACATTATTCGAGTATGTATTCCCAGTTGGTAATTTCAGTCTTAACTAATCAAAATTCCAAAATGGCGGCGCCTTCTATAGCGAAAGTATTCCATCTCCCCTTTTTAAGGATTAGAAATTCCTCAAATTTCTCTCTCTACCAATGACACGTAAATCGAATAGGAAATTAATTGTCAGAACAGTCGATTTTCATCGTCGAACAGCAATCGATGTGTTTTACAGATACTCGTAGGGAATGCTGATGGCTGTTACAGAAAAATATGCAAGTTTTTCGCGTTACGTAATTATGCAGGCATTCCGTGCACGCGTTTATTGGGCCTGCTTCAAAATTCAGAGAGTCGCGGAAAAATTCGCTGACATTCTCACGCCCATGCTTCCAGATCGTTGTGTAACATTGTATTATATTAGTCTTCGAAGATAGAGCAGCTTAAACCGGTGAATGGTGAGGAACACGCTCTTTCAGCTCACTCGGTGCACGCTCGATACACATACGATCCTCCAGTTTCGTACTTGAACTTTGATCATCTCACATTGAACTTTCGACTTTTCCTAAATTTATTCGACCATTTCGTTCGGTCAATCGCGCAAAAATTAATTGTTTGAACGCAGAGCAGCATCTTAGAAATTTATCGACTGTAAATCGATAAGAGAATAAGTGTTATTAGTATATTTTATTTTCCAAAAATAGGGAATCCGATGAATAATAAACGAATTTATAATGCAAAACACACGCTGATTTTTAAAATTTAAATGGCGTCATAGAACTATTTTTAAAGACCTTTTGAAATCTCAATTTTGTATTCAGAAAATTGGGGAAATATAAAATAACTGTATATATTTTTGGCTGATACAGTAGAACCTTGGTTATTTGGATTTTGAACGTAAATTTTGCAACTTATAGTGGTTCATATTGCATATTTTATTCTGTAAGAAACAATTTCAATTGAGTACATTTTTTTAGTATCTACTAAGAAGATTATAATTTACTACTTCTTCGTAAACTCAAAATTTCGTAATCTCACCTCGTCAAATAATTTTCTGATGAACACAAGATCCCAAAATAAAACACTTACCTCATATATAAATCAAACAATTTTTTAAAATAATCCGTACGAAATATTAATACAACAAATCACCATCCCCAAATACTAAGAATGAAGAACAGAAAAGGACCAACCAGAGAAAAATAAAATTAATTGCCCCTATTATTATATTCTCAAAATATACTTCCTCCACCTTCAAAAATTTTACTTGAATGAAATTTACTTGAATAAAAATTAAAGTAAAAAGTATAATCTGAATGGAAGAAAAATTGAAATTTTAATTGTTCCTACTCACACCATTAAATTTCTCTGTCCCTTGAAAAATTTCACTTCCATACCAAAACCGAAACAAAGAGAAAAATCAAAATACTACTGTACCAACTCAATAATTTTATTGAAATGAAAGAAATAGGAAAACACACATTTCTACGAAATTTAAAATATGACCTCTTCTTTGGGTTCATTTTTACATAACAAATTCCATACTCCGCAATATTTCATACAAATCTATATATTATCCTATACAATGCTAATTTATATTATCTTCTGAAATGATGATATTAAATTAAATTTCCTAAAATGTACTTCCACCATTACCATCGAAGAACCCCATAATAAATACAGGAAATGCAAATTCCACATCAACTTGGAAGTATTTATATAGGAAACTTAAAATATATAGAAAATGAAAACGGAGGAGCCTGATCTAGCACCCATCGATCAGCCCTGGCAGCCACAAATCTCAGCTCGCAGTGATCGGTGACAACCCCGAAAGGTCGCTCATTGAAACCTCCCACGGCGGGCTCATTCCAGAATTCGTTGAAATTCCCGGCGAGTGGGTTCACGCAGATCGAACTTTCCCACTGTCTCAGCTGCACGCGTTTCGCGCCGATCCCCTCAGATCGACGCTGGATCTCATACGCGGATCGGTCCGCGGCCGTCCTCGCGGGACCACGTCTTTCGATGTGACTCACCTGGCGAGCGTGACTGTCGGTTTATTGAAATTAAGCCCGCGGCTGGCGGGGATCCCCCGGCGACGCCGCGTCGAATCCACCGTGGATATATTATCGATAAGTCGACGGAGACGGCGCGTGGGAGATCGCCGCGATGCCGGTAACACACGGCCCGCCACGCCCCGAACAATTACCAAGAAGTCGAGGCGGTAAATCAGCCGTGAAACCGAGACTATGAGACCGCGACGCGTATCCCTGGGATAGCCGATTCCGACTGCGAATCGGGCCGCTGCTAACGTGTGCGCAATATTTCCGCGCTGGAATATTTGACGAATCGGGATTCCCGGAAATATCCGGCATTTTGAAAGCTTCGGGATGTTGGAAAATATTTGGGATATTTAAGTCCTCGGGAGTTTTGGAAATATCCGGGATTTCGAAATTTTCCGTGGTTCTGGAAATATCCGAGATCTCGGAATCTTCGGGATCCCAAAAATGATCGCGATTTTCAAAAATATTGGGTAGTTCGAAATCTTCACGATTTTCGAAAATATTCGGCATTTCGAAATTTTGGGGGTGCCTGGAAATATTCGGAATTTCGAAATCTTTGGGGTGTTTGAAAATATCTGGGATTTCGGAATCTTCGGGGTCCCAAAAATGATCGCGATTTTCAAAAATATCGGGTAGTTCGAAATCTTCACGATTTTCGAAAATATTCGGCATTTCGAAATTTTGGGGGTGCCTGGAAATATTCGGAATTTCGAAATCTTTGGGGTGCCTGGAAATATCTGGGATTTCGGAATCTTCGGGGTCCCAAAAATGACTGTGATTCTCAAAAATATTGGGTACTCCGAAATCTCCGCAATTCTCGAAAATATCGGGGATTTCGAAATATTCGGGATGTCAGAAAATATCTGGAATATTGAAATCCTCGGAAGTCCTGGAAATATCCTAGATCTCGGAAGCTTTGAGGTCCCAAAAATGACTGTGATTCTCAAAAATATTGGGTACTCCGAAAACTTCGCCATTCCCAAAAATATTCAACGTTTCGAAATTTTTAGGGTGTCGAATATATCTAGGGTCCCGAAATTTTCAAAAACATCGGAATTCCTGAAAATATCTGAAATTCTGAAATCTTTGAAATGCCAAAATCTATGAGATTCCTTAAAATTTTGAAAATTGTCATGCGAGTATAGGTATTTCGGAATATTTTCGTAAATCGATTGATATTTTGTCTCATATTATATTTTAATCGAGTGAGAATGAAATACAGGGTAGTTTTTGCATTACTCCATTCTATCGATAATAAGGGTTGTTTTACGATTTGACTGGAATTCGTTAATTGGATGGTAGGTCATGCGTGAAGTATGGGAACACTTGGGTGGTAGATAGACTTCGTAGTTCTCGTTTGTGGAAATTGATCCTTGTAATTGGGGTACGTTATTTACTTTTTAACATTTATCCCATCTTACATAGACGAGTGATTGAATTAAACGAATTCTTTCAAATTACTCGAGATGGTATTCGGAAAATGTAGTAAAACACAGCAACATTGAATTTACTTCAATACTAATAATTTTAGAGTACCTACCTACTCTTTATGATACTTCAAAAATTAATTAACGAGTCGACAGTAATAATTTTAAAACTTGAAAAAATTTTCCAAGCTTTCGATCCTATAATCTATCAAAATAAATATAATATTTCTAATTTTTAAATGTACCTTAACACAAACAAACGTGTCGATATATAATATCTCCGCAGCGCCATCTGAGATCTAAAAATTCGTCAAATCCTCGTGGATCAGATGTTAATGATCAAGTAGCATTTGTTCACCAAGCCTTGGTACACCAAAATATCGTGCTTAAAATCAAAATAATAATTATCGAAAATCGTCGAAAAAATTTTGTTAAAAAATTGAAAAACAATCTAAATTTATAAATGACACGTCAACAACTGAAACTAATTCCGTGGGCGGACGTATATCTTCATTATCTTTCACTGAACTGCGTGTTCGGTTTGCTGCGTGATCATCGATCATCATTTTCAGATTGTTTGTTCTTGACGAGCGTTTCTTGACGCTAGTCTTTCTAGGGATATTTTTATCACCGTCTGGACTATCGATCACGAATCCTCTTAACCGAACTTCATCCCGTTCTTTAAAAATCACCAACTGAATTGTGTTCACGGATAAACGCGAGAAAATTAACGAATATTTTTTTAGAGAGCGAGAAAACATGTCTCTTTGTTCAAGTTTTAAAAGGTTTAGGTTAGGTTCGGCGAAGAAAGCAAATAAGTTAGGCATCCGTGAATAATTCTCGTGTGAATGTTTCTAGACTCCTGATGCTGCATAAAATGGCGCGACGTGTGAAAGTTGAAAATTATCTCGCCTCGTCGAAGACTAATTTCATTTTTACAATTGCTTATTTATCGTTCATTAGACACACGTTTCTGTTACTTATCTTTATTTGAAATTCCCGCCAAGAATTTCCAACCTTTATTTTCTTATTAACCTTTGCGTCCCAAAATTTATTTTATATGTACGAGTAGTACAAAGGAACCTAGGTGCAACTTAACCTCATTCTGTTTGAAAAACAAAAGATACAGAAGCTACGAATACATCTCTATTTTCACATAAAATACCACTGCATTTCGAAGCTTCGAACACTAAAGCTAAAAACAACTGTTTGACCCAAAAAATAATTTAAGTCAGAACGAATTATAAACTGGAAAAAGGTTAAAAACAAAATTCGAAAATCGATGATTTCATTGATTAATTGAAAAAATAATCTAACTCTCAACGAATTATAATGGAGAGATGACAAATTCCATATTAAAATCGCGCGAGGAACGGAGGAAAAGGCGTAGGGAGCGTCGAGTGGGGCGAGCTCTGGCGGCGACTCGGGGAAAGACAGGACAAGATGGCGTCGGCGCGGAGATAGCGTATCAGCAGCGGCACGGCAGCGGCGACGGTGAAAAACGCCGCAGCGACGGTGTTGTGACCTGGGTGTGGCGCGGCCGACGTGCGGAGATCTCTCGCATATGTGTAACCCGTTGGAGCGGCGCGAGAGAGGGCTCTCCTCTCCGCTCCGCGTGTCCGGGAGTGTGGAACCGGGCGAAAGCATAGGCAACAGCCGAACGCTAACGCCGGCTTATGGCTTATATCCATGAGAAATACGGACAGACGTTATGCAATCGTCTTGTATATCCCCGTGCTTTCTTTTTTCTCAGCTAGAACGTTCCGTCGCGCGTGTGAGTGCACGCGCCCGTGTGTACGTGTACGTGTGTGTCGGTCGTAGAGGATTAATACACGACGGTGCTTAACGGGTAAACGCGTGACCACGTTTTACGCGCACACGCGAAGGCAAACGGGATACTGCGGGTAATTAAAAGCGTTCCAAGGGAAACTCTGCCGGGGCCCACTGGTGATTATTATTGTTTTATACGCGTAATCAATTGCGCTTGTTTATGATCCTCCGCATTTGGAAACACGGCTCTGCGATTTCGTTCGTCGCGTCGTTTTTATTCCACTCTTGATACGTGTTACGGAGAATCAGCTTGTGAGCAGATTCATTAGGACCAAGCGTATGGGCGATAGTACCGGATTTTTACGCTAGGTGGTGCCGCTTTGTTCTGCGGCCAGTGCAAAGTAGCATCCTTACCACAGTTACGAAATATAATCGCGTTGATTGCAATTATACACTGCGATAGTAGAATGTTGTAGATCAAATGAACAATGAATGAAAGCTTCTATTTAAGATAATATTTATTATTTTATACTGAAAATTATTTTTAAACGAGAGATTGAAACTAGGGTCCTTCGGAATGGACGAAATGTTGGAAATATGTGGTTAATTATTTTTGTAATGGATAAGATATTATTAATATAGTAATATTATTATGAATTAGTATAAGATATATAACATTATAATATCTAGTCAAAATAATATAATAATTATCTCTGTCAAAATGGCGGATTCCAAATTTCTTGTTTTCACGATTACTATACACGTACACGTATTCCAAGCGAAATTAATGTTAAACGACATTAAAACGGGGATCTTATTACTTCATTACTCCGTTTTCTACGACATTCATATAGACATTACAGCTAGTAAACCGAGTTTCACCTAGTTTCACCAAGCTTCACCCTCAAGTTTGCGATCAAACTGCTTATCAGGTTAATTCTAATATGTAAGATCAATCTCAATCGATCTAAAAAATCTCTCTACCAGTTACCGATTCCGTTTTCATGGCCAATAAATTTCTCCAATAAATCTTGCGATTTCCTCGTCTGCCCAGCTCACGGACAGCACACACTTGCGGTACCTCCCAGACTCTTCTCTATAAAAACATATTAAATTCGAGGATCGGTTAACGATCTCCTTCCCACTCGTCGATTCTTTCTTCGCACTCGACTCGCGGCCAATAAATCTCGATAAATCGCCTTCCGATTTTCTCGTTAATCGCGGCCGGCTTGATCGCCGGGTCGATCGGGCCACTCCATCTTTGGATCTGCCGTCTGGCGTTGGAAAAAGGCAGATCTTCTCGTTTCTCTCCGTTGGTAGCCGGTCGGCCGGCTTCCTGGCGGGAGACGGAACATTTTAATGAATATTACGCACGCACGCGATATCCTGCTCGGATCGCTTCCGATCGTCGGGCTCTAGCGATCGTCGTCGCGCTCGATATTTCATCGTTAGCCGAAGGAATCCGCTCGATCCTCCAAGGACATCGACGGGGTCGCAAAAATGGCGCGGGCTGCGTGTCCGGCGACACGAAACCTTCCGAGTCCCATTAATTGGATCCGCATTTCGCCTTTTTCGCCATTTTGCCCACTCCTCTCTTCCTTCTTTCCGTCCTCTCCGCGCAGTTCTCCCGAAAACCTTTCACGCAGGACCATAAATCGAACGCGCAATCGATTACTCCTGTATGGCAACGGTCACTTGCGAAATTCCAGGCTGAAATTAAATGTTGCGTAGTCGGTGGCGTGTAACGCGGGATTATAAATTCGTTTTTCGCACGAAACTGTCTGGCACCTCTGCGAGACTCGGGCATTTTTCAGAGTTAAGTAACGAGCCGGGCACCGTCCTCGTTTTGTACCCCGAAGAGAAGAAGACTCGGGTGTAATCCCTGCGAGAGCAGTTGGAGTTTCATCGGGAAATTGCCAGACCAAGTGGATATTTGTTGACTATTTCGTATTTTAATCCGACAGCCGGAATTACTCTCGCGAGCGATTGACAGGTCACACCTGTCCGCGTGGATTCTTGGCACGCGTTTGCTTTTCGCACACCTCGGACCATTCATCTTACGAATTGTTAATTCCAATCCGAGACTAATGCGTGGCCTTCTTTCCATCAATTTTTATTCCATTTTCAAGGTTGCAAGATATTTACGAGCCTCTTGTGCTGTCGGAATTTAATCAGCGTGGAACATTGACGTTGCCTTGGGGTGAAAGCCTGATTTAAGGATTATGAAGCTTCGAATCGCTTTGGTTCCTCGAACATTCGATTACTCAGGGTTGTATCATAGGGAAGGAGTTGGCGGAGGTATTGGAAGGGTTTAAGAATTCGATTTTTAGGTGTTTTTTCGAGTTATCCGAAGGATCGGTTGGCGAGTAGGCTCAGGGCTGTTTTTAATCGCCTCTATTGCGTGATGGCCGGGGTTTTTTTCCAGAAATTTATCTTATCTCCCGGAAACACGTCGTAAATCCTTCGATTGCCCACGTGGCAGGTATCCTGTTCACCTGTGCACGAAGGATGCGAGGTGAAAGACGGACGACGTCTCGGTGGATACTTGTTAATCGAAGCACGCTATGCGCCCATAATGGGAGTCGAACAGTGGAGGAAGCTGAAAGGGCGATGGTAATAGACTTGGAGGACTCTTGGACTTTGACATCGAGATTCCTTTAATGGGTACCGTGATATCGGATAGCTCGCAATCGATAAAAGTACCTCTACGTTGAATTAACAGAAGACTAACCCGTCACGTTGCCATAACTGTTGGGAAGAGTTATGATTAGACACAAATTTTGCTTTCCTATGACTC